CGGCTGCACCCCGGCCACCGGAGGAGGGTCCCACATGGCGCGCAGACCTCCCCTGCCACGCCTGCTGCTTCCCTCAGCAGTGTACTTCCTCAGTCTGCCTGTTCTGCCCCCTGCTCTGGCTCTGGTGAATTCTCTCACCCTCTCACACTTTTGACTATACCCAGTGCTTGTAAAATAAATAAATAAAATCTTAAAAAAAAAAAATGCAACACAGGGAATGTTCCATCCTGAAGTCATTAGATGAAGCCCAGCAGACTAGATGGCCCTGCTGTCCAGGGAGGGTGGTGGTGGAGGCCAACAGTCCAACATGGGGTTGGGAAGCCCCTGTGAGAGGTGGGGGGCAGCCCAGCACATGAGGCTGAAGGGTAGCCCCTGGCATGAGGGGTGAGGTCCAAGGACAAAGGGGGTCTCTACACCTGGGGCAGCCTAACTCAGCAAGTTGGAGGCCAAGCAGGGAGTGGGGGGCCTGGGGAACAATTAGGGTCTGCCCACCCAGCACAAAGAGTCAGCTCAGCACAAAGCTTCCATGAGGGGCAGGAGGGGAGGCAATAGGAGGTTGTTTACATGTACGAGATTGAGCCAATACGTGCAAGTATCAAGAATGACGGGAGCCAGGATACTCACTGTCCAAGAAAGGAGTGACTCAGAAAGAAAGGAAAAGACTAGAGTGCCCCCCAAGGTGGTGGGCCAGGAGTGCAAGTGTCACAAGAACTCACACTCGACAAGAGGTACAAAAATAAGGGGTATGTCATGTGCATGTACACACACATGCAACCACACACACACTTTCCACTGACAGCCTGGAGCACCAGCACCCTGAAATCAGCAAGCACCTGAAGCCCAGATCCCAGTTTCTCAAGGCCGTGGTTCACTCCAAGGAATAAGGCTCTTGGGAGAAATGACTGCACCTCGAACAGAGGCAAGATAAGCCCAGAACACTTGTACCAGAAAATAAGAACAGACACAAAAAAATGCCAGAAGCCTGCCCAAAGAACCCCGGAGACAGCATGAGTATTCTCCAGGGCCCACTCAGGGACAGTCTGCGTATCAAAGTAAGTACGACACTGGCAGGGATGACCTACGGAGTGAAACAGGAAATCCGTGCTGAGAAATGAAGTGAACACACGGCTTCAAAGTACGCCTCCCAGCACCTCTACCCAGTGACGAAGGGGAGAAGAGACACTGCCATGGAGGGGCTGGCAGACGTGACCCAGCCCAGCGAATGGGTTGCTGTGGTCGGTGACGGGACAGGACAAACCGCAGGCCCGAGCACCATCAGGCCTGCGGTGCAGCCAGGACCCGAGACCTGCATCCAGTCTCAAGAAAGCATCACGCAGCCCGAACGGAGGGACATCCCAGGACCGCTGGCCTGGAATCCTCGAGCGTAGGGAGAGTTGGGACTGTTTGGCTTGGAGATGAGAGACAAGACCATGAAATGCAGCCTGTGGCTGGGAACTGAGCCTTCGGCCGCGCGGGACACTGTTGGGACCCTTAGCTCAGGGAGAAGGTGGCTGCGTGCTTGGCCATCACAGCACCTTCACGTTCCCCCTCCCCCGGTGTGCGTGCGTGTGCTCTGTGGAGAATGTTCTCGTCCGTGGGAAACATGCATGAGGGATGCCAGGCAACATGTCCACGGCTCAGCCCCGAATGGCTCCAGGAAAAAGGAAAGCAGCTGTACTCCCACCTCTTGGGTAACTGGGGTATTTGGAAGTTTAAAAGAAAGAAGAGACGGGAGAAAAGGGGAGTTTAAAAATGACTGCGATCTGAACAGGACGGGGAAAGGCGGGGGTTGGAGGTGGGAGCCGGGGAGAGCCCGTTTTCCCTGCTCTTGCAAAGCCACACAGCCCTCCTCCCCACGCAGGTGTTGGTCCCCTCCTGCCGCACCCCCACATACTCGCTCTACAGAGGGGGGAGGGGAGCCAGGGAGGCTGGTGGGGAGGGGGTAGGCGGATCCAGAGGTTGGGAAGCCTGTCCCAGCCAGGGACGTGATCTAAATGTTCCCCGGGGAGTCCCTTAGGGCCCAGGGATGCGATGCAGTGAGGCTGAGAGGAAATTGCTTCTACATCTCCTTGCACCCTCTCTCCCTCCTAAGCAGTGTTAATTTTCACTTTCAGGACTGGCTGGCTCTCACCGTGCTTCCACATTGGCATAAACACTTCAGGAAAGAGTACAGGCCCAGAGCCGAGACCGAAGGTTCTGGCCCCACAGCTCAGTGGAGTTCCCACCACTGTTAGTGGGGATTCCACTAGGGGTGCAGATGAAAACACAGGAGGCCAGGCCGGGCCACCCTTGTTGAAAAAGAGCTCTCTGGTTTTCTTTCTCCATCTTCAATAGGCAAGTGAGAGTGTCTCTCTCTCTCCCTCCTGCCCAGAAGAGCCCTGGTTCCCCAAGGGAACGAGAGAGGCTCAACCAGGCCAGAGGCTGGGGTCTCTGAGCAGCATTTCTGCCACTTGGGCTGGAAAGAGGCCTCTGGCACCTCCAAGCAGGGGTCACCACCACACCCTCAAACCTCCTCTTTCTTATTCTGCCTTACCCAATTTGGATTCCTGCTGTTATCACCTCCTGCTCCTCCATCCCTACCCAGGGGGTCTCCTGCCCACTCACCCCAGAAACCACGGGCAGACAAAAGGCACACAACAGAGAGAACCAGCCCCCACCCAGTCTCTGTCCACGCACTCCCTGCAAGCCCCGAGCCCTCCCAGGGACCCCAGCCCTCCAGTCCCTCCTCCTAAAAGACCATTTCGTGGCCTCAGAGCCCTTACACCCTTCCCTACCCCTCTCTGCAAGAAAGAACTTCATCCCTCCTGGAGAGCACAGAAGCAGCAAACCTGGGGCTCCTGGTCACCAGCCCACCTTCTTCTGGACCCCCAACCCCTTCCCCTCTGCTATGGCCTTTACAGGAAAAAGGCCAGCCCTCACCTGGGCTCTGGACCTCACCCCTTCATCTCCTCAAGCTTCTTGTTCCTAAATTTGCTTTTTCCCATATCTGCAATTTCTGGACTGGTAAATCATTAAAAAACTGACTCACTTCCTTGATAATCATGTGTCCAATAATGACAGTTTCATTTTTCTGTTTTCTGTTACAGGAAGGAGAGTTTTTCATAGCCCTCACTTCATGGACTAACCGGGCTTCGAGAGCTGCCCCTACATGGAGACTCTGCCTGTTGAGAACCCCAAGCAGCTCCCTATGGCCAAAGCCAATGGGCACAGCCCTGTTCTCTTTCATCCTCTCATCTTTCCTACAGCCGCCTCGTCCCTCCCCTTGGCTCCATCGAGCTGCTCTTTCCTGCACGCCCATTAGCCTCAAAGAACATGTTCTCTTTGCTTCTTTGCAAGCCCCTTCTCTGCTTGACCTTCAAATGTTGGAATGTTCTAGAGCCCAGGCCCTGGTCCATGTCTCTCTTCTGGATACACCTTAACTCTAAGTGCCTCATCCTGTGGCTTTAAACAACATCTCTGTGTTGAAGACGCCCATCTCGTGTTCTGCCTCCCCCTGGGGCCCGGACTCAGACCTCCAGTGTCACTCTGCTTGCCTGCCAGGGTGTCCACCTCAAACCCACTGTGTGCAAAAGAGAACTTTATTTCTCCCTCCCTCCCGTTAGCCCCATGAGTGTGCTACCTCCAGTCTCAGACATTCCACCCAGCTACTCAAGGAAAAATAAATAAATGAATAAAAGTTATCCCTGGCTTCTCTTTCTTCTCATTCCCAAATGCAGGTCCTCGGCTTGTTCATGTACAGCCTATAGCAGCCGCTTCTCCACCACGTTCACTACACCACTCCCCGGGGCACTGAAAAAGCCTCCTCTTTCTTTTCTTAACTCCAAAATAAAAGGTTATTTAAAAATAAAACCTTCTGGGAAACCACATGCAAAAATAATGAAAAGATAACATACAGTGGAAAATACTCGCAGCATATATTTTAAAGGGTTAATATTTTTACAGTGTAGACCGTACCTATAAAACTACGGGAAAATAAGTTGTAGAAAAGGACAGTTAGAAAAATAGGCAGGTCATTTGTAACTGTGTGGTGATGGGTCTTTTTTTGAGCGATGATGGACATTTGGCATTACCTTAGTTTCTGGCGTACAGTATAACGATCGGATATCGTACACAGTGTGGAATGATCGCCGTCGTAAGCCTCGTGACATTCGTCACCACACAGTTACAAAATTTGAAATAGCCTCTTCATGTGTCTCTGCCTACACTCGCGCCTACAACCTATTCCAATCCATTCTCCACAGAGAATACACTTCCCTTGCTTAAAATCCTCCTAAAGAGCTCTGTCATCCTTTTTACAAATTCCAACCTTGTTTTCCTGGTTTACAAACCCTCCGCGATCTGGCCTAGTTCAGACAGGGCTGGAGGACAAAACCTTGCTGATAAATGGTGATAAAAGGTACAAGGATCCCTTCTGATCAGGGGCACGCGTGGGTGTGCTTATGTTCAAGATGAATCCCAGAGGGAGGGCCCAGGGAACTTTTCAATGCAGGGTGAAGGGGTGGGACTTATAATCAAACTCCTCTTGGAAGAAGGTCCTCCTCCCCAGAGTGACCTCATTGCCACACATGCCCAGCAGCAGAAGGGGCTCAGGGCCACTGGAAGACCACCTTTCTCCAAAGGCAGAGTCTGGAGCCTGCCACTGGGTAAGTTGTGGGGAGCGGCAGGGCGGGCAGTGGAGAGAAAAAAAGAGGAGGAATAGCAGCCATTTTGCAGAACCCAAGGGATGACTGCCAGCTGGGGCCAAACAGAGGGCATGTCACTCAGAATTTAGCCACCCTGGAAACTGAGCTGGGATAAATATGCCCTTGGCAGACACGAAAGGGACTGGGAGCCTCAGAACCCCATGGGCACAGTTCTGCTCACAGCCCCAGCTGGGGTCCACCTCCCCAAGGCCACGCACCCTGTACTCTCCCCTCTGGTGCCAGTCTATGCCACCCCAATGAGAAAGGGCTAGTCCCTCACCCCCTCCATCCTTGGGTAAACAAGTGGAGCTGTCTTACTGTTGTCCAAGTGGTTGGCCTTAATGATCTTCTCTGAGTAGTCAGAAATACTGGAGCATTCAATCTAGAAGGGAGTAAGGAGCAAGGCATCAAACATCACAGCACGTTCGGCAGAAACAAGATAAAGATGCTGAGGTCCACGCGCCCCTGCTCGTCACAGCTAGTCTGTGGCCAACTGGAAGTAAAAGCCCAGCCCCGCTGGCTGGCAGGTCAGGTGCTCTCCCACTACAGGCTGCCTCTGCTGGGAGGCCGAAACCCAGCTGCTGTGTGGCGTGGAGGCCTGGTCTCTGAGTTGGGAGATTCAGGAGAAGCGTGCAGGCCTCACTCTCCTGGCCAGAGGGGGGTGGGGTGAGGTGCCATGATTCTGTCCTCCCAGGAGAAGATGCTGTGAGGCTTTATTCCCATTATCCTCTTCCCAAACCCAAGGACTCCCTGGTGAAGCTGGACATATTCTAGGATGGGGACCTGCTGGAAATGCCAGGCCTCACGTGGATGGGAAGCTCCCCGGGCACACACACAAACACACACACACTCAAGTTAACGCTCACCCCTTCTGCTGTCTGTCTCCACCTGTGAAAGAACGGATTCCTTTCCATCTTGCCTCCCCAGTCTCCCAAAATATCATCAGCAAAGGTTATTGAGAAATGAGTTGACCATCAGCTGAGAGCCGGGTCTTGTGGGACTAAGTGGAGATCAAGTCCGTTCTCGGGGGCGGAGGCCCAGGGCCCCGCGGGCTGCAGCCAAAGAATATTCTCACCTCTTAACTGGCCCCCTTCACAGCAGCTGGCCTGTGCTAAGGTCCTGGCACCGCACCTCAGACCGTGCCCTGGCCTGGAGAGGCTGTTGGCACAGGGACATGAATGTGCTGTTGTCCTGCCTTGGGGAGAGGGAGCAGGCCCACGGGTGGGGAAGGGGCCAGGACCCAGATTTCAGGAGGGCCAGTCCTTTCCCGGGCTACCAGGTCCTGGGGGTTTCCAGCCCATCACCCTGGGGCCATGTTCTCCTCAGTTTCTTTCCCTCCCCTCCGTGCCACATCACCACCCCGTCTACAAGAGGCAGTTTAGCCATGAAGAGCAAGGGATCTGGAGCCAGGCAGCCCGATTCATGGCAGCCTCTGCCCCCTCCCAAGGGAGCCTATTTGAGGAAAGCCACGTCCCTCTTTCATAGGACGGTGTGAGGATTCAAGGAGCCGGTGCTCGCTGAACACCCAGAGCAGACGCCCCAGGGCCACACGGACGCGGGGGACTGTCTCAGCCTCCTCACACTTTCTCCTTCCATCTCCTGCTTTTCTGGGTTTTTCCTTTTTACTCTCTTCATGTTCCCTCTTCTTTTCTTTTGTACTTTCTACTTTGTTTTCTTTCATCCTTTTAAAATTTCTCACCCAATTTCCCCTCTCTCTCCTGCCACCCCATCTTCCCCACGGGAGCAGAACAGCGGGTGGAGAAACTGAAATAAGCCATCCGGAGAGCAGCGCAGAGAAAGGTGGTGAGGCTGTGACGTAAGAGCCCATTGAGATGTGCCAGTCCCACAGCTGGAGGGCAGGGGCAGGAGCCTCCTGGCAGCTCCTTGGCTGGAGCCCCCCCACCCCCACCCCTGTCTTGCAAGGTGGTGACCGGCCGCCCTGCCTCTCCCTGCTCAGCCCTCACTCCCTGTGCCCCCTCCCAGAGCTGAAGGGGCCTCGCAGACAGCACGGGGAGAGAAGGCAGGGACCACGGGCATCACCAGACGCAGTGAGCTCATTTAAAGTAGAGTCTGTCCCTTCCCTGAAGGAGGATGCTATCCCCGGCCCCTGTGGGCAGCTAAGGGCATCTGCAGGCTCTAGCCAACCTGGGCGCCCAGCTGAATGCGCTGAGACCCCCCTGAAAGCTGCTCAGCTCCCCTGGCCTGCTCCCTCTGTCAATGGCCTGTCTTGTGCATGTGCTAGGGTTTGATTATCATTTCCCTTTAATTTTGATCAAAATAATTCTCATTTTCCAGTCATATTGCCACTGTATTTTCAAATGTCAGCCATGGCTCAGAGTGCTTCTCTTTCAGTTTCTCCCCAGCTCCAGACACTCCCACACCGCCACCCCATCAGGCTGTATACAGAGACTCTTGGGGGCTGGAGGAAGGCTGGGGGGTGTCCCCAGGGTCAGCTTTCACCAGGAGAGGTTGCAGCAGCCAGAGCAGCAAAATCTACACCTACCAACTGGTCCTTTAGCAAATAAAGGAAGAGGCTCTTGTTATTGACTTGGGCCCGTCCCAACTATACTAATAAACTCTGAGCACTTGACATATACCAGGCGCCGTTCTAAGTAGTTTACGTGTGTGTGAAGCTCATCTACTCCTCACAGTCACCAAAGTAGTTATCACTCCCATTTTGTAGATGGGGAAACTGAGGTGCAGTGAGTGAACAGTTCGTGGTCACCTCTGGTGAGTGGAAGAGCAGGGAGTCAGAGCAGAACTCACATGTGTGACCCCCCCCCCCAAGGTGACAACAGATATGAGCCCTCTGAGGTAATTGCACAGGGATGGTTCCTAAAAAAATCCAAAATCATTCACAAATGTCCATCAGTGGTTGCCAGGGCGAGGAGCCAGGAGCAAGCCCAGGGGCAGGGAGCCACAGGAGCTTGCCCCACCTCCTAAGAATCACACCTGATTTTCTCTACTCCTCCCCCAGGCTCTGCGGGCAGGGGTGGCGTGTGGAGGTCAGCGCGAAGAAGGGAGTACATGCTCACCCCAAACACCTTCTTGGCCCCTGCTTTGGCAGCAAACATGGAAAGGATGCCGGTGCCACTCCCAACATCCAGCACCACTTTGTCCTTGAACACGTGCTTGTTGTGGTACATGGAGTTCCGGTAAGTGAGGGTCCGCACCTCGTCCTTCAGCATTTCCTGTACAGAAGGAAAAGAGAGGCAATGTCGAGGTATGCAGGGTGCCTGGGACTGCACCAGGTCACAGGCCCCATGGTGTTCCCGCAAAACCTTCCAGGATCTCAATGATGTCATTAGGAGGTGTACCGGCACAGTCACATTCTCCTCCCTTAAAACTCTGCCCAAGGACATGAAGAAGAACTCATGTGCAGACCTGGAAAAGTCCCAATTTACCAAAAAAAAAAAAAAAAAAGGATAATTTAAAAAAAAGGAAGGCTCAGGACAACATGAGAGATTTAAGTTAGACCTAAAGCAGGACTTTCTGCCATAAGGAGAGAATTATAGTTGAATAGGTTATTAAAGAAGGGGTTTTTGTATGTGTTTTATTATTGCTTGCTTGTTTTTAAAGAATAGAAAACATTAACCACCTTTATTCAATGTTATTTAACTGTTTTGTGGGTAAGAAAAAATTAGATCAGTTGTTATAACTGTCTCCAGCCCAGGGAGAACTTGGTTCATCTATGTATGGTGATGAGGCAGGGATCTTCATCTAGTCAAAGTATCCACCAACACTTATGACTAACTCATCACCAATAGTAGTGGATTTTCTTTTTGGTATGATTTTAAGAAAATGACTTGCACTCAATACCAAGCACGATTTTAAATGTAAGACTTTTGGCAAATGTACATCTGTGTAACCACTACCATGGTCAAGATGCAGAATATTTCCATTACCTCAGTAAGTCTTTCCTGCCCATTGGCAAGTAGGTCTCACCTCCTCTCCCATCACCAAAGCTTCCTTCTGCCTGTTTTAGAATGTCTGACAAATTGCATCACACTGTATGCACACTTTGACGTCTGGTTTCTTTCCTCAACAGAAGGTCTTTGAGATTCATTCATTTTATTGCATGTATACAAGGTTTGTTCCTTTATTCCTGTTCTTGTTGAATCATATTGCATTGTATTTTCTTTTCTTTTTTGTGTGTGTGTGTGTGTTATTTTACAGGTTTTCTAGCATAAAGGCTATTCTTTTTTAAATATTTTATTATTTTATTTTCTTACATTGTTGTTCATATTGTATGAACATACCACAATCCATTCACTTGTTGACGGATATTTGAATTGTTATAAATAAATAAAACTGTGGCAGACATTCTTGTAGAAGTATTTTTGAGGATATAGGTTTTCATTTCACCTGGGTGAGTAATTTGGTTTGCTAGTTTTAGGGTAGGTGTTTAATTTCATTTGAAATTACCAAACAGTTTTCTAAAAATAGTCATATAATTATTTTATGATCCCACCAGCAATGTTCAATGGCTTCACATGACAGCAACTCAGTACTATCACTCTTTCTCATTTCAGTCATTCCATTTGTGTTCTTGAATATTTGTCTTTTCCTTATTGAATCTGAAATATTTTATAAAATCCGGAAACAAATCCTTTGTCAAATATGCAAATATGCATATGCATATTCTGATTCTGAGTATCTTCTTCCAATCTGTGATTTGCCTTTTTCTTTTCTTTTTTTTTTTTTTTTAAAAGTTTTATTTTATGGATACAGTCAGAAGCGCGGGAGGGTGAGAGAATTCACCAGCGCCAGAGTGGGGAGCAGAGCAGGCAGAAGGACCGAAGTACACTGCTGAGGGGAGCAGCGGGCGGCAGGAGAGGTCTGCGCGCCATGTGGGCCCCTCCTCCGGTGGCCGGGGAGCAGCCGGGGATCGAACCGGCGCTGCAGAGGCTGTGGGCAGCTTCGCAATCCAGCGCTCAACCGCTGCGTCACCGGGGAGGCCCCGCCTTTTTATTTTCTTAATATTGCCTTTTGAAATACTGCCTTTTTATTTTGATATAGACTGTTTTCTTTTTCTTTATGATTAGAATTGTGTCCTACCTAATCTTTTTGCACCCTAACATTACAAATATAGTCTCTTGTTTTCTTCCAGAAGTTTTATAGTTATGGCTTTTATTTTTAGGCCTATGATTCATGTCAAATTGATTTTTTGCATATGGTACAATTTAGGGGTAGGAAGTAATTTTTTTTTTACAAATAGGTGGATCAAGCATTATTTGCTGAACAGACTATCATTTCCCCAATTGAATGATATTTCTACTTTCATCAAAAATCTATTGATTGTATAAGGGTGACCGCCTTGATCTAACAATATGCAAAACCAACAATAACTTGATTACTGTAGCTTTACATTAACTTGGACATAAAGTAGAGTGATTCCTCCAACTTAATTCTTGTTTTACAAGCTTATTTTTATGTTCCTAGATTTTGGATTTCCATGTCCATCCTAGAATAAGCTTATTAATTCATGTAGAATATCATCCCAGAATTGATTGAAGTTATACTGAATCGAGAGATCATTTTGAGGAAGAATTGACATTTTAGCAATACTGAGCCTCAAAACAAAAAAGCATGATACAGCTTTCCTTTAATTTCTCTCTGCAATGATTTATTTTCAGCATAGAGGTCTGACACTTTGTTCAAAACATTTATTCTTAACTATCTTACTTTATGTTATTGTATATGTTGCTGCATATAAGGTTGAGCTATATTTATTGAATTTGTATTTTGTACTCTTGTTTCCATTAATTCTAATAGGATTTTTTTATAGTTTCTGGTAGATTCCTTTTCTTTCTATGTGAAAAGTCTTTCACTTGTGAATGAAGGCAACCTTACTTCTTTTTTCTTATCTGTATATCTTTTACTTTTTGTTCTTTTCACTTGCTTTATTGCACTGGCAAGGACTGCCATGCAGTAAAATGTTGAATAGAATTGGAGATGATAGACATCCTTCCTGTGTTCCAATGACATATGGATGTCACTACTGAGTATAATTTCATCTGTAGGTTTCCCATAATGTCTCTTATCAGATTGGATGAAGAAGTTCTCATTTCTAATTTGCTGAGAGTTTTCATCATAAATGAAATGACATGTGACTTTTCTCTTTTATTCTATTTATGGGTTGAAATCCCTAACTTGGTTTCAATTGTTGATCCAACATTTTGTCATGATTTATTGTCCTTTCTAAATATTGCTAGGTTTTATTTACTAATATTTTGTTGAAGATTTTTTTAATCTATATTTATAGGGGATATTGATCGTAAAATGTGTTATCGTCTCATATATTTTCTGAAAAAAAAAATTGTGGGAAATTGGTATTTTTCTTCCTTAAATGTTTAACACAGTTCACTAGTAAAACTATCTGGACCTGGTGTCATTTTTGTGGGAAGATATTTTAAATTGTGAATTCAATTTATTTAATACAGGTTTATTTTGGATTCCTCTGTGTACTTGCATCAGTTCTAACAAAAATTTTTTCCAAGGATTTATCCATTTCAGCTAAAATATCAAGTTTATGGGCATACCACTGCCATCATATTTTCTAATTTCTTGTTGAATATATGTTCTGTAATAATGTTCTTGCCTTAATTTGTCACATTATAACTTGTGTTTTCTCTAATTTCCCCCCCCCCATTCAGTTTAACGAGGTGCTATCAATTCAATTAGTGTTTTCAAACACCAACTTTTAGCTTTGTTGATTATCTCTAATGCTTGATTTTGACCTCATTGTTTTATGCTTTCATTTTTATTATTCCTTCTTTCAACTTACTTGGTTTATTTGTTCTTTCCCTAACTTCATAGGGTGGAAATTTTGATCACTGATTTTATACCTTTCTTTTTATCTAATATAAGCATTTGCAAACTAAAAATGCCAAGGATGTCTCTTTTTAAGAGCTCTACCCTCAAGACTGCATTACCTTCCTGAGATCCCACCCCCTCCAACACCATCACAATAGGGGTTAGGAATTAAACATGTTAATTTGGGTGGGAGGGAACATAAATACTCAGTCTATAGCACTGGATTTTCACTAATATCCAGTTTGGGATATTTTCTACTTTCTCTTACAATTTTTTCTCTGACCCTGTTCTCAGTGCTGTTTAATCTCTAAACACTTGAAGATTTTCTAGATAATTTATTGGCTTTGGTTTCTAATTAATTCTGTTACCCAAAAGGAAACATAGTGTTTGTTTCAATCTTTTGAAATTTATTGTGATTTGTTCATGACCCAGCATATGGCCTCAGTGAATGTTTCAATGTATGTTTTCCTTTAAAAGGGTGTGTATTTTGCGATTTGGGCATGCAATGTTTTATAAATGCTAACTAGTTCAAGTTGTTTGACTGTGTTGTTCAAATTTTTTACATTCTTATTGATATTTTTGTATATTTGTTCCATTAACTACCAACAGAAAAGTGTTAAAAATATTTACCTATGGCTGGGGATATGTTGGGTTTTTTTTTCTCTCTCTCTATAATACTGCAGAGTTTGCTTCATGTTTTTGAAGCTCTGTGCACACATGTGTTTTGGCTTTGTAGCATGTCACCTTGGCCAGTCTGAACTACAGTTCTAAGAATTCTCTTTTTATGTTTCCAGTGAAGTTGAGTCACAAGGAAGACGCTTGCAAAATCTGGAAGGTACCAAGGAACCAAGAAACATTTTGTAGTGCATTGCTGGCATGTTGATTCTCCTTACTGGAACGAAGCAGCAACTAAGCCTATAATTGCTCTACCTTTTCTTTCGGTTTCTCTGGCTCCTAGCACAGGTGTGTGTATTTAGCTCCATGGAGAAACACCTCCATCTAGATAGCTTAAAATATAGAATGGACATAGAATGAACAATAGAATGGACATGCATTTCAGTCTGTCCTAAAAGGTTTCAAGCTTATGCCTATGGATTCTAGCTACTTCTGGATTTTTCCCTTATTTTACATTCATGTTTCTATGCTGAGGACCTGCTCTGTGGGCTTCAAACTCTAGCATAAGACACGGAGACACAGCTTTACATAATTACAAAGCAAATTTCCTGCATGCCAGTCATAAATTCACATTCTCTCTCTCTCTCTCTCTCTCTCTCTCTCTCTCTCTCTCTCTCTCACACACACACACACACACACACACACACACACACACACACAAGTTGGAATTGCTTTATACTGGATCTACTTCCTTGGTTAA